CAAGAAAAAATAAAGTAATCAAAAGTAAAATGGAGAAAAATTGAAATAAAGAAAACGCAAAATGAAAATACTGGAGAACATAAATCAATGAATGATCAAATCAAAGTCAATGTAATTGATATTAATTTAATACAGAATAAGAAAAAATAAGAAAAAGTAAATGAAATAAGAAATATTTAGTAAAACAAAATATTTGTCAACCTGTATAATAAATTAAGTTTAGAAAGTTATTTTCTGGATTCATATTTACCACATTTATTACATCATCAAACCATTTTAATTTTGGCAAGTTCAGCCCTCCGTACAGATATAACCCAAGCAGGGAAGAGTCACAGCTCAGGGGCGGGGCCTGTTTTCCTGCAGCTGATTGGCTGTTAAAGGGCCAGACTGCTCTCACCTGGGACTCGTGAGGCTTCCAGCCAATCATGTAGAGGATCTGGAAGGTGGCGGGAACTGACCCGTCCGGGTTTCCGTACATCTCTGAAATGAGACGGACAGGATGAAACGTCCCGCTGGTCCAGGATCAGTCCAGATTAATCCAATCCGGTAGATTATAGGCATGCAGAGATTAAAAGCTGGACGACTCCAAACTTTCTGCTTTAAATTCTGATCAGTTTTTGTTTTCGGATCAGAACCTCAGAAAAAGAATCTTCACTCATCCTCCGGTTCTGCAGAACCTTTGTGACGTTTTAACGAGAATCAGTCATTTAAATCTCATTTTAACAAATTCATAGAATTTACATAATATTGCCCACATTATAAACATTCAGTCCAGAATTAGCAGGAAGCTAATTCATAAATGATAACAGGAAGTTCATAAAGTCCAGTTAAAACCGGGTCCAAACGGAGTTCCTCTGAAACCAAAACCAGATTTCTGCTGTTCAGCTTCCCATCATGGCTCCCTGATAATCCAGATTAGAATCTCAGGTTCCCATCTTGTCCTCCATCAGAGATTTGATTGGTCCAGAGAGCGTCTCCTCACCTTTATAGATGGCTGCAGCTGCTAGCATGGTATCGCGGTGCAGCATGGCGCGCCTGTTCCACGCGCAGTTGCTCTCCCCCATGCCTGCAGGGGGCGACACGTCTGAGTCGGCTCCTCTGCAGGAAACGTTACTGATTTCTGAGCTCTGTACCTTGCAGGTCCGTAATGAGCTCCATGATTCCTGGATAATGAACCTGAACATCATCAACGTCCTGAAACACAGAGGAGGAGGGGTCAAAGGTCAGCCTGCGTCAATGTCTGCTGCTTAAGGAAGAAACGTGGCTCAGCTGAGCGGTGGAAGCTTTTATTGGTCCATACAGAAACTTCCTGCTCTGTGCACTGAGGTCAACGAGGTCAACACTTCAGCAAGGAGAGAAACCGTCCAGAACCAGAACTAATGCTAGCACTAGGCTATTATTAGCCTTTTGGATCATTTTAGCATTGCTGCTACACACTGCTGTTAGCATACAATATGCAATACGCTACTACAGCTCAACATGCTAGTGTTAGCAATCCTGCTAATGTCAACTTTTAGCTGAAATTAGCATTTTAGCTCATTTTGATTTAAATCCAAACCTGGAATACTGAATGGACCGAGTCAACATGAGTCCCTCAGAACCTCTAACAGCTGCTGGATCGGGCCTAGCAGAACCAGAACCTCACCACGGTGAGCATGTTGAAGCGGGCCCGGCCCAGCAGGTTCCCCAGGTCGGTGACGGCGGTGTAGGGGGACACGTGAGGCGAGAAGCCGCCCTCCCGCTCCGTCTGGGCCAGCTGCAGCGAGCAGCGCAGCTCGTACAGCGTGTCGCCGCCCGCCATGGCGCCCACGAAGACGCCGTCCGGCTTCAGGACCCGATGGATCTGCAGGGAGCGGCAGCATGAGGGCGGAGCCGACCCAAACAGAACCACACACAGAACCTCTGAGCGTACCTCGCTGAGCGCCCTGGGAAGGTCGTTGATCCAGTGGAGGCTGAGAGGAAACAGAGCCGCTTCAGACAGAGCAACGTTTAGCAGCTGAATATTTATTACCTGAAATATTTTCTAAACTGACTACATATTTAATAAGCTTAATAATTACCTAAACATTTAGCTTATTAAATATGAAGTTAGCTAAGCGTTTAGCTTACTAAGCTAAATATTTATTAAAATATTTAACTCAGAAATAAATACATTTAGTATGAACTCGTGACATTTCTAAATATGAATATAGAAAAACAGGCTTAAAGAAGGAACACCCAGTTTTTCCTCTGTTACAGGCTAAACAAATCAAACCTCCGCCGTTCTTGTTTTACAGTGTAACTTTAGAAACAGGAAGTCCTCCACACCACTAGGGGGGGTCTGGAGTAGATAGCAATATCTGCTGCTGCTCTGTGATAAAAGACAGCATGTTTCCTCTGCCTCTCCTGGACGGTTGGTGTTTCAGTCTGACTCCCCCTACTGGTCTGGAGGATTTCCTGTTTGCTCCGTATTGATCCGTTCCCTGATCGATCTCATGTGAAACCTGCTGAGGTCAGACCCTGAGCTGAGCGCCCCCTGCTGCAGGAAGCCGCGCTCTGCAGGTAAAGCTGGTTCTCACCTGAGGCTGCTCACCACCAGGTGGAAACTTTCCTCCCTGAACGGCAGGAACTCCTCATCAGCCACGACGCTCCGGGTGGGAACCTCCGACCGCCGGCCCAGCTTCTGAAACACAACACAGAGAACCGGGTCCACGGGACGAACCGGGTCCACGGGGACAGACCGGGTCCACAGGGACGAACCGGGTCCACGGGGACGAACCGGGTCCACGGGGACGAACCGGGTCCACGGGGACGAACCGGGTCCACGGGGACGAACCGGGTCCACGGGGACAGACCGGGTCCACGGGACGAACCGGGTCCACGGGGATGTCAGAACTCACCAGAGCCTGCTGGGAGATGTCAGTCAGAACCAAATCCTGCACCACTTCCTGGAACATCAGGGAGGAAAAACTGTTTACAAGATTCAGGCTGGAGGAGTCTCCTCCTCTTCCTCCTCCTCTTCCTCACCTGGCTCAGATGCTCTGCTATGTAACTCTTTCCTCCTCCCAGGTCCAGAGCCCTGGGAAATGTCCTGAGGAGAGGACAAACTGGTCAGAACCTGCCGGACTGGACCTCAGATGGAAACCAGTCAGATTTAACTGGTTTTATGGTTCCTGCTGGACCAGAACCAGAACTCACCTGGCAATGTCATAAACCCGATCAGCCACTCGACTGCCGACCTGCAGAACACAAGATCCAGATGAGACCAGAACCGGCTCGGAACCAGAACCAGACCTGAGGAGTCCAGAACCCCCAGGTTCTGGTTCTGATGGTTTCCGGTTCTATTACTGAACTAAGGAGGAATGAAAACATGAATTAATGACTAAAATCATTTTCAGTACCAAACTGAACTCCATTATCAGAACCTGAATCCCGAACCGAACCCCAGTTTCACCTCTTCTCTCAGGTAGTCGTACTGCTGCCGTCCAGCAGAACCGCGGCCCAGTTCTTCTGCCTCCTCTTCATCTCCCTGTTGAACACGTTCATGCTGCCTGACCCAGAACCGGAACTGGGTCCAGACCGGGCCCTGCTGGGTCCAGATCTGAGCCCGCAGCAGTAGAAGGCCGCGGGGGTCCGGGTCCACCCTGCCGGACCAGAACTGGCTCCACGCAGGAGCTTCTGGACCCCCCGGCAGCTCATGGTCCCGCTTCCAGTCAGAACTCCAATATGGCGGCTTCCTGCCCGCAGTGACCCCGGTGACCTCCGGCCGCTCGGAAAACCCGGCGGGCGGATCCAAGCGGAGGAACTGGATCAGCGGCCTGGAGCGATTAGGCTCATGAACATAAACATGAAGCATTTAATGAATAAAAGAGATAAAATATGACTGAATTCATACAGAATAAAAACCACGTGACTGCTTCATATTTTCCTCCAAACACAAAATGAATCATCAAGTTTTTATCACGCAGTTTAATAATAACTGGGTCTTTTAAATTAAATGCAATTAAAACTATTTTTACCTTTTAATTAAAGTTTCATTTAGAAACATAAAACGTTTATTTTCTGATTATTGTTCTGAAGTATAAATGATTTGGATCATAAAACCCGGATCTGAACGTTCTGCTGTTCGCGCTGTTTGTCCCTCTCTGCGCGCCGTACTGCGTCAGAGGCGGAAGGAGCGGAGTGCATGCTGGGAAAACACGTGTGAGGAGGCTCAGAGAAGGTAGCTTTTACTTTTAATTCCAGTCGCTGGTCCTGGTTCTGGTTCTGGTCCTGGTTCCGGTTCTGATCGGACCTGCTATCCGCCGGACTCTGCGCCTTTTCTCGGGGTTTTAAACGAGCCGGTCCGGTACCAGAGCCGAACTCTGACCCATAAGATGTCCGATAATGGGCTCGGTGTTTTTAATGTTTCTGCTGCTCAGTCCGTCATAAATAATCCGCGTGGATTTTCCACCGGTTCGGTTCTGATCAGATCAGTGCAGGTGAGGTCAAAGGTCAGCGGTGTATTTATTTGTGTTTGCTGGGAAAGATCGGATGAAATATATTAATGGATGTTGCGGGTGGAAGGGTCTGCAGTAGCAGTCAGTCCTACACCGCATCAGAAAAGGCCTCTGACTGAAGAAGTTTCTGTTTAACCGCTTCTGACCGTCATAACATGCTAACAGCTCAGTGTCTGCTGAGCAGAGATTATACTCCATAGTGTCGTCCTGATGGCTCCTTCATCTGTTAGCTAGCTCTGCTAATCCGCTTCCTTTGCTTTTGCTGCTCCTCTTTCCGTCTGTCTGGTCGTTTGGTTAGAAGGATGTCAGGATGTTCAGATGTGATCCTCTGAACTTCCTCCTTAAGGTTTTATTTGAGCTTTTCAGATGCTAATCAGCTGATCCCAGGTGCAAAAACTACACCTGGTTGCCATGAATAGAGAAGCCGGAAGGATGTTTTCTTAACTAAACTAGAGGAGAGTTCTCCAGGTTTACCTGCAGTTCTGCTCCTGTCCTGCAGGCGGCACTGTGCTCTCCCCCAACATGTCGTCCAGGAAGAAGCAGGCTGACGATGAGCGGTTCCGCCGGGTCCAGAAGGACCCCAGGTTCTGGGAAATGCCAGAGAAAGAACACAAAGTCAAGATCGACAAACGTTTCCAGTCCATGTTCCACGACCGTCGCTTCCAGACGAAGCAGACGGTGGACAAGAGAGACGACCCGTCCAGCTGTCCACCGCCGCCGATCTGAGGCGCTTCTACCAGCTGGAGGAGGAGGAAGAGGAAGAAGAGGAGGAAGAGAAGGAGGAGGAAGAGGAAGAAGAAAAGGAGGAGGAAGAGGACAAGGGGGAGGGGGAGGAAGAGAAGGAGGAGGAAGAGAAGCAGGAGGAAGAGGAAGAAGAGGAGGAAGAGAAGGAGGAGGAAGAGAAGGAGGAGGAAGAGAAGCAGGAGGAAGAGGAGGATGTTCAGGTCCAGGGACAGAAGAAGAAGAATTTTGGACGAGGAAGCAGAGCAGCAGGTCAGGATTTTTCATCCTCTGATTTCACGTCAGTCCAGTTGATTTATTTCTGAGACGTTTCATAACAAATATCCAGGAAAACATGATTTCAGTTTGGCTCAATCAGCTCCATTCACTGAACTTTTATTTCCTCATGTTTAGTTCTTTAGATCTACAGAATGACAGCTAAAGCTAACTCGGTCTCTCAGATGACGATGAGGAGGAGCATCAGTCAGGAGATGATGATGATGATGATGATGATGATGAAGAGTCCAGTCTGGACTCTGACGATGACAGCGGACCAGATCTGGCCCGAGGAAAAGGAAACATGGAGACCAGCTCTGATGAAGACGAGGATGATGATGTGGACGACATCCTGAGGAAGGAGGAAGAGCAGATCGAACACGATTGGGGGGAGCTGTGCAGAGACGCTCCGCGGAGCGAGCAGGTGAGGCGGCGGGTGCGGCGCGGAGCGAGGTCCTGACCAGTTCTAACCGGGTTCTGAACTTGTTCCAGGTTTCTGCTCGGCTCGCCGTCTGTAACATGGACTGGGATCGAATGAAGGCCAAAGATCTGCTGGCTCTGTTCAGCTCCTTCGTGCCTAAAGGGGGCGCTGTGCTGTCTGTGAAGGTAACTGCCTGAGGGTTCATCTGGCCCCGTGAAGCTGCCATATTGGGTCAACAATCTGATTTATCCACCAACAGAACCAAGCCAGATTGGCCTGTTTGTCCTGAGTAACAGCAGTGCATTGTGGGTATTGTCCAGATTTTCCCGTCAGAATTTGGGAAGGAGAGGCTGAAGGTGGAGGAGACGCAGGGACCGCCAGAGCTGAGGGCGCTGCCGGACGATTCGGAGAACGAGACGGACGAAGACAGGTAACCTGGGAGGATCCTGCTGCTGCTGCGCTGCCCCCTGCTGGACGCTGTGCAGCTCATCTGCTGTCAGTGTGGAGGGTCCTCTGAACACAGCTAGGGGTGCTATTGAGACGTTTCTCTGTTTGTTTAAATGTTTAGTTTGTATAACAGTAGAAGAAGACAAGAATAATAATTGTGAGGCAGCTGGGATTTAATTGATTGCAGAGTGAACTTTCTGTCACCAGGTGTCACTGTAGGCAGCAGAGGGCGCTTTAGCCGCTTCCTGATGGTTTAATTAGAAACAGACGTTCTGCTGTTAGCTAGCAGAGGTTCTGCTGTTAGCTAGCAGAGGTTCTGCTGTTAGCTAGCAGAGGTTCTGCTGTTAGCTAACAGAGGTTCTGCTGTTAGCTAGCAGAGGTTCTGCTGTTAGCTAGCAGAGGTTCTGCTGTTAGCTAGCAGACGTTCTGCTATTAGCCAGCAGAGGTTCTGCTGTTAGCTAGCAGACGTTCCGCTGTTAGCTAGCAGACGTTCCGCTGTTAGCTAACAGAGGTTCCGCTGTTAGCTAGCAGACGTTCCGTTGTTAGCTAACAGAGGTTCCGCTGTTAGCTAGCAGACGTTCCGTTGTTAGCTAACAGAGGTTCCACTGTTAGCTAGCAGACGTTCCGTTGTTAGCTAACAGAGGTTCCGTTGTTAGCTAACAGAGGTTCCGCTGTTAGCTAGCAGACGTTCTGCTGTTAGCTAACAGAGGTTCCGCTGTTAGCTAGTAGACGTTTCGCTGTTAGCTAACAGAGGTTCCGCTGTTAGCTAGCAGACGTTTCGCTGTTAGCTAACAGAGGTTCCGCTGTTAGCTAACAGAGATTCCGCTGTTAGCTAGCAGACGTTCCGCTGTTAGCTAACAGAGGTTCCGCTGTTAGCTAGCAGACGTTCCGCTGTTAGCTAACAGAGGTTCCGCTGTTAGATAGCAGAGGTTCTGCTGTTAGCTAGCAGACGTTCTGCTGTTAGCTAACAGAGGTTCCGCTGTTAGCTAGCAGACGTTCCGCTGTTAGCTAGCAGACGTTCCGCTGTTAGCTAGCAGACGTTCTGCTGTTAGCTAGCAGACGTTCTGCTGTTAGCTAACAGAGGTTCTGCTGTTAGCTAGCAGAGGTTCCGCTGTTAGCTAGCAGATGTTCTGCTGTTAGCTAGCAGATGTTCTGCTGTTAGCTAGCAGATGTTCTGCTGTTAGCTAGCAGATGTTCTGCTGTTAGCTATTAGAGGTTCTGCTGTTAGCTAGCAGATGTTCTGCTGTTAGCTAGCAGACGTTCTGCTGTTAGCTAGCAGATGTTCTGCTGTTAGCTAGCAGAGGTTCTGCTGTTAGCTAGCAGACGTTCTGCTGTCAGCTAGCAGACGTTCTGCTGTTAGCTAACAGAGGTTCTGCTGTTAGCTAGCAGAGGTTCCGCTGTTAGCTAGCAGATGTTCTGCTGTTAGCTAGCAGATGTTCTGCTGTTAGCTAGCAGATGTTCTGCTGTTAGCTATTAGAGGTTCTGCTGTTAGCTAGCAGATGTTCTGCTGTTAGCTAGCAGACGTTCTGCTGTTAGCTAGCAGATGTTCTGCTGTTAGCTAGCAGAGGTTCTGCTGTTAGCTAGCAGACGTTCTGCTGTTAGCTAGCAGACGTTCTGCTGTTAGCTAACAGAGGTTCTGCTGTTAGCTAGCAGAGGTTCCGCTGTTAGCTAGCAGAGGTTCCGCTGTTAGCTAGCAGACGTTCTGCTGTTAGCTAACAGAGGTTCTGCTGTTAGCTAGCAGAGGTTCCGCTGTTAGCTAGCAGATGTTCTGCTGTTAGCTAGCAGATGTTCTGCTGTTAGCTAGCAGATGTTCTGCTGTTAGCTATTAGAGGTTCTGCTGTTAGCTAGCAGATGTTCTGCTGTTAGCTAGCAGACGTTCTGCTGTTAGCTAGCAGATGTTCTGCTGTTAGCTAGCAGAGTTCTGCTGTTAGCTAGCAGACGTTCTGCTGTCAGCTAGCAGACGTTCTGCTGTTAGCTAACAGAGGTTCTGCTGTTAGCTAGCAGAGGTTCCGCTGTTAGCTAGCAGATGTTCTGCTGTTAGCTAGCAGATGTTCTGCTGTTAGCTAGCAGATGTTCTGCTGTTAGCTATTAGAGGTTCTGCTGTTAGCTAGCAGATGTTCTGCTGTTAGCTAGCAGACGTTCTGCTGTTAGCTAGCAGATGTTCTGCTGTTAGCTAGCAGAGGTTCTGCTGTTAGCTAGCAGACGTTCTGCTGTTAGCTAGCAGACGTTCTGCTGTTAGCTAACAGAGGTTCTGCTGTTAGCTAGCAGAGGTTCCGCTGTTAGCTAGCAGATGTTCTGCTGTTAGCTAGCAGATGTTCTGCTGTTAGCTAGCAGATGTTCTGCTGTTAGCTATTAGAGGTTCTGCTGTTAGCTAGCAGATGTTCTGCTGTTAGCTAGCAGATGTTCTGCTGTTAGCTAGCAGATGTTCTGCTGTTAGCTAGCAGATGTTCTGCTGTTAGCTATTAGAGGTTCTGCTGTTAGCTAGCAGATGTTCTGCTGTTAGCTAGCAGACGTTCTGCTGTTAGCTAGCAGATGTTCTGCTGTTAGCTAGCAGAGGTTCTGCTGTTAGCTAGCAGACGTTCTGCTGTTAGCTAGCAGACGTTCTGCTGTTAGCTAACAGAGGTTCTGCTGTTAGCTAGCAGAGGTTCCGCTGTTAGCTAGCAGATGTTCTGCTGTTAGCTAGCAGATGTTCTGCTGTTAGCTAGCAGATGTTCTGCTGTTAGCTATTAGAGGTTCTGCTGTTAGCTAGCAGATGTTCTGCTGTTAGCTAGCAGACGTTCTGCTGTTAGCTAGCAGATGTTCTGCTGTTAGCTAGCAGAGGTTCTGCTGTTAGCTAGCAGATGTTCTGCTGTTAGCTATTAGAGGTTCTGCTGTTAGCTAGCAGATGTTCTGCTGTTAGCTAGCAGACGTTCTGCTGTTAGCTAGCAGATGTTCTGCTGTTAGCTAGCAGAGGTTCTGCTGTTAGCTAGCAAGGTTCTGGTCTAGATGCTAAAGCGGTTCTGTTGCTTCTCTCAGGATCTACAGGGAGAAGCTGCGGGATTATCAGTTCAAGCGTCTCAAGTATTTCTACGCCGTGGTGGATTGCGACTCTGTGGAGACGGCGGTGAAGATCTACGAGGAATGCGACGGCTTCGAATACGAGAGCAGCTGCTCGGTTCTGGATCTCCGGTGCGATGACGAATGAAGACGTCCCGACCCGGTTCCGCGTATTAAACTCTAAGCTTCTTTCACTCAACAGTTTTGTTCCTGATGACGTGACGTTTGATGAGGAGCCCAGACGCGGCCACAGACGTCAACCTGACGGCCTACACGCCCAAGATGTTCACCTCGTCCGCTGCCGCCTCCTCCAAGGTCAGTACGGCGCCGGTTCTGGCCCGATGGGACCAGGGAACCCGGTTCTGCAGTTAGTCCACAAGCTAAAGCTTCAGACCAGAGCAGCTGGTTCTGGTCCGGTCCAGTTCCTGGGACCAAACTGAATATAATGCAGAAGTTCATCCATTTCGCTGCTTTGCATCTCATTAGGGTGGAATAGTGACATGATTATTAATCTAATGAATATTAATGAGATGATCAATAATCTGATCATGGTTGGATCTCGTCTGGACCAATCAGGTGCAGCTGACGTGGGACGAGACGGACCACGAGCGCGTGACGGCTCTGAGCATGAAGTTCAACAAAGAGGAGCTGCTGGACCTGGACTTTAAGGCTTACCTGGCCTCCTCCAGTGAAGAAGACGAAGATGAAGAGCAGGAGGCAGGTGAGGATCGAGAAAAGTTTTCTGGCACTTTAAGGAGACGAAGTTGTGCTGAGTTGTTTTTCAAACAGAAGAGACGATGGGAGAGGAGGAGAAACCGAAGAAGAAGAGAAGCGAGGAGCAGATGAGTAAATACAGAGAGCTTCTGAAGAGCATCCAGAGCAAAGAGAGGAGGCCGCAGGAGGACATGGAGATGCAGATCAGCTGGGTTCCAGGTAGCAGCAGGCTCCGCCTCTAGGCTCCGCCTCCGGCGACGCCACAGCGCCTCATTGTCCTCCTCCTCAGGTCTGAAGGAAACGACGGAGCGGCTGGTGAAGAAGAAGCTGGAGGCCAAGGACCAGATGACGCCCTGGGAGGAGTTTCTGCAGAAGAGGAAGGAGAAGAAGAAGCAGAAGAAAAGTGAAAGAAAGCAGGTGAGTGGCGCCTCCTCCTGACAGAGCTCTGAACTGCAGGCAGTAATGATTCTAACGTGACGTTTTTCCCGTCAGGGAGCAGAACGGCTCAGTGACGACGAGCTTCCTCCTGATGTCGACCTCAGCGACCCGTTCTTCTCAGACGGACCATCAGGTGACGTCCCCGCAGGACGCTCGGTTACCACGGTGACAGGAGTGGGGCGACTGTTCTGGCCGTCGGTGTTTAAAACAGTCGGTCACTCGGTCACGGTGTGTCGATTTTATTCCGACCTCCTGGTTCTACTTTAAACAGACAAACATGGACAAAAACCTCCACATGTTTAAAACTGCGTTTTGAAACAAAACTTAACAAATTTACTTCAGTTTGTTTTGGTTCTGAAGTTCAGTGAAAATCATTTCTGCTCGTCTTTAGCAAAGTGAACCTGACTGATTCCTGTCATGCTTTACGTTTCAGACATGAAGAAGAAACAGAAGAACGGCAGGAAGAGCAGATTACGGCTGAGGAGGAAGAGGAGCGGCAGAAACAGGAGGTGCAGAACGATTCCCGGCCGGATCGTCCTCTGACTCCACGCGTCTCAACCGTCTGCTTGCTTCCAGGCCCAGATGGCTCTGCTGATGGAGGATGACGATGACGAAGCCAAACACAAACACTTTAACTACGACAAGATCGTAGAGCAGCAGAACCTGAGCAGGAGGAAGAGGAAGAAGCTGCTGAGGAAGGGTGCCGAGCCGCCGGAGGACGACGGCTTCCAGGTGAGACCAGGATTTACCTGGAAACGCTGCGATTCCCACACTGGCCTGACGGGGCAGCGTTGCTTCCACACCCAGACAGGCTGCCACCGCTAACTACTAAAACAATTTCTGAAACTAAAAAATGGACTTTGAACTTTATTCAACTGAAGTTCATGAAACTTTTAAAATTAGCTGTTTAGAAATGATCTGGAAAAATTAATTTAGGGAAAGTTAAGTGCACTAAATGTTTTGAAGCTAGCAAAAATGCCAAAGTGTTGTGCTAAATGTTAGCTTTACCATTAGCACACTGGCAGAAGTTTCCTGTTCACTGCTGCAAGGATTTACAGACAAAACAATCATGAATAACAGAAAAAATTGTCGTCATCAGTATTGAATTAAGCAGCTACTAAATACTAGTCTATTATTTCTAACAGTTTTATAAATGGGACCAGTTTTTAATGAGCTTTTATTTCAGGCATTTTTATAGTTTAATTTTGCTCTTTTTGTTTTGTGATCTTTGATAAGACAGTTATTATTTAATTATGTATTATTTTATTAAATTTGTACCAACCATTTAAAAATAATAAACCTTCTAGATTCTCCAAAACTATGAAAAGTCAGCGTTGAAATATTAGAAATGAGTGGCAGGTTCAGCCCTCCGTAGGTCGGTCAATGACACGGTGTCTGTCTCCAGGTGGACGTCTCCGACCCGCGCTTCCAGGCCGTCTTCACCTCCCACCTGTTCAACCTGGACCCGTCCCACCCCGGCTTCAGGAACACCAGAGCCACACGGAGCATCCTGGAGGAGACAGCGCCGCCGCCAGGAGGGGCGGAGCCAGGCGGCAGGCAGGAGGGGGCGGAGCCAGGCGGCAGGCAGGAGGGGGCGGAGCCAGGCGGCAGGCAGGAGGGGGCGGAGCCAGGCGGCAGGCAGGAGGGGGCGGAGCCAGGCGGCAGGCAGGAATCGGACTCAAAGGCGGCGATGGATCCGACTCTGTCGCTGCTCGTTAAATCCATTAAGAGCAAAACGGAGCGATTCCAGGCCCGAAAGAAACAGAGAGTGACCTGATTCCTCCTGAAGACGGACCCACTTCCTGGTTCTGATTGGCCCGGTTCTGATACATGTTAATGTGTTACTATGAAGTCTTTTTGCTATTAAAAAATGAAACATCTGAAGATCCAGTTGATGTTCTGACGTCATTTGGGTTCAACAGGAAGCAGTGTCACAATAAAAGCCTCCAAAGAGAAGCCTTTATTGAGGAAATGATTAAATATTCTGACGTCAGCAGCAGGAGCTGATTGGTTGGATTTAACCAGCAGACACTGGACTTCTGCTAGGACGGGTTCTGACCAGAACCATTTGGGCCGGCCCAGCTGAACATGAGGAACGTTCAGGAGCTTGTGTGTCAAATTCGAGGCTCGGGGCCAAATCTGGCCCGGCAAAACGTTTCATGAGGCCCTCTGAGGAAACAAGCAACCTTCAGATCACAGCGGTTAATTGATCAGATCCATTTTTATCTTTGTTACATCATCAGTAGAAAATGATGCAACAATTTCATTCCAAGAAATGAACACAGAAATAGTTGTCAATATTTTATCAGTTTGTTATTGGGTGATTTTATTTACACATTTTGCCTGAACCGGCCCTTTAAGGGGATCTGCATGAAAATATGGAGAAATCAGCCTGGTGATTTTTGATTGGCTCGGTTCTGATACATGTTAATGTGTTACTATTAAATCTTTTTTGCTTTTAAAAAATTAAACATTTGAAGATCCAGTTGAATCAGCCTGGAGGAAAAATCAGCCTGGTGGGAACTCGTCCTCCTCAGGCCGTTCTGACCAGAACTGTTTGGGTCTGGTTATCAGCTGAGATCAGCAGCCGGTCAGACGTTAAAGGTGGGACAGAAACTGAAATCAGTTTTCAGGAATTGGGCCGATTAAACTGGAATCACTGGAAACTTTCCTGATGTTCCGGGTCGAAGCTGTCGGACCCATATGAATCGGGTCGCTACGGCCCGGGAAACTCGAACACGGCGGCGGCTCCCATCCCGGTCCCGATGCACATGGAGACGACTCCGAAAGCCCTGACAGAGAGAGCGGAACCGGGTCAGAACCCGGCCCGACCAGGTTCCGCTGCTGCGACTGAACCGGACCCACCTCCTGCCTCGGCGCCGCAGTTCATTCAGCAGCGTCACAACCTGCCGGGTGCCGGTGCAGCCCAGAGGGTGACCCAGAGCGATGGCGCCCCCTAGAGGATTCACCTTCTCTGGAGGAAGACCAAGACGATGAACGCAGAACACGGCCTGGAGAGAGAGACAGTTAACACACACACACCTGGAGACAGTTAACACACACACACCTGGAGACAGTTGACACACACACACCTGGAGACAGTTGACACACACACACACACCTGGAGACAGTTAACACACACCACCTGGAGACAGTTAACACACACACACCTGGAGACAGTTAACACACACACACCTGGAGACAGTTGACACACACACACCTGGAGACAGTTGACACACACACACACACCTGGAGACAGTTACACACACACACCTGGAGACAGTTGACACACACACACCTGGAGACAGTTGACACACACACACCTGGAGACAGTTAACACACACACACACACACCTGGAGACAGTTGACACACACACACACCTGGAGACAGTTAACACACACACCTGGAGACAGTTGACACACACACACCTGGAGACAGTTGACACACACACACACACACCTGGAGACAGTTAACACACACACACCTGGAGACAGTTGACACACACACACACCTGGAGACAGTTGACACACACACCTGGAGACAGTTAACACACACACACACACACACCTGGAGACAGTTGACACACACACACCTGGAGACAGTTACACACACACACACACCTGGAGACAGTTAACACACACACACCTGGAGACAGTTGACACACACACACCTGGAGACAGTTGACACACACACACCTGGAGACAGTTAACACACACACTGGAGACAGTTGACACACACACACACACCTGGAGACAGTTGACACACACACACACACACACACCTGGAGACAGTTAACACACACACACCTGGAGACAGTTGACACACACACACACCTGGAGACAGTTGACACACACACACCTGGAGACAGTTAACACACACACACACACACCTGGAGACAGTTGACACACACACACCTGGAGACAGTTAACACACACACACCTGGAGACAGTTGACACACACACACCTGGAGACAGTTAACACACACACCTGGAGACAGTTGACACACACACACACCTGGAGACAGTTAACACACACACACCTGGAGACAGTTGACACACACACACACCTGGAGACAGTTGACACACACACACCTGGAGACAGTTAACACACACACACACACACACCTGGAGACAGTTAACACACACACCTGGAGACAGTTAACACACACACACCTGGAGACAGTTGACACACACACACACACACACCTGGAGACAGTTAACACACACACACCTGGAGACAGTTAACACACACACACACACCTGGAGACAGTTAACACACACACACCTGGAGACAGTTGACACACACGCACCTGGAGACAGTTAACACACACACACACCACCTGGAGACAGTTAACACACACACACCTGGAGACAGTTGACACACACACACACACCTGGAGACAGTTAACACACACGCACCTGGAGACAGTTAACACACACACACCTGGAGACAGTTGACACACACACACACACCTGGAGACAGTTAACACACACACACCTGGAGACAGTTAACACACACACACCTGGAGACAGTTAACACACACGCACCTGGAGACAGTTGACACACAAACACACACCTGGAGACAGTTAACACACACACACCTGGAGACAGTTAACACACACACACCTGGAGACAGTTAACACACACACACACACCTGGAGACAGTTAACACACACACACACACACACCTGGAGACAGTTGACACACACACACCTGGAGACAGTTAACACACACACACCTGGAGACAGTTAACACACACACACCTGGAGACAGTTAACACACACACCTGGAGACAGTTAACACACACACACCTGGAGACAGTTAACACACACACACCACCTGGAGACAGTTAACACACACACACCTGGAGACAGTTAACACACACACACCTGGAGACAGTTGACACACACACACCTGGAGACAGTTAACACACACACACCTGGAGACAGTTAACACACACACACACACACCTGGAGACAGTTAACACACACACACACACACCTGGAGACAGTTGACACACACACACCTGGAGACAGTTAACACACACACACACACCTGGAGACAGTTAACACACACACACCTGGAGACAGTTAACACACACACACCTGGAGACAGTTGACACACACACACCTGGAGACAGTTAACACACACACCTGGAGACAGTTAACACACACACACACACACACCTGGAGACAGTTAACACACACACACCTGGAGACAGTTAACACACACACACACACCTGGAGACAGTTAACACACACACACCTGGAGACAGTTAACACACACACACACACACCTGGAGACAGTTAACACACACACACCTGGAGACAGTTAACACACACACACCTGGAGACAGTTAACACACACACACCTGGAGACAGTTGACACAAACCCACACCTGGCTGGCGAACGCCTCGTTGATCTCGAAGATGTCGATGTCGCTCACTTTCAGTCCTGATGAGGAAAATGGAGGTCATGTTGGTTCCGTCGGGTTGGTTCTGATCCAGAAGGTTCCGGTCGCCTCACCTGCCTGCCGCAGCGCGGCCGGGATGGCCAGCGCTGGGCCGACACCCATCAGGTCCGGCGGGACGCCACCACGGCACTTCCCCGCAGCACGCCCAGAACCGGCAGACCCAGTTCCTCCACGGCGGCCCCGGCGGCCCAGCAGAACCGCTGCCGCTCCGTCGCTCACCTGGCTGGAGTTTCCTGGAACAGAGCGGAGTCAGCGGCGCCGGCGGGAGACGGTGCTGCAGGGAGGGCGGTTCTGACCTGCCGTAGTGGTTCCGTCGGGTTTGAAGGCGGGTCGAAGCGGGCCAGGTCCTCCAGGGTCGTTCCGGCCCGGATTCCCTCGTCCCCTCCGGACCTCCAACCGCCGCTCCCGGCCCGACTCGTCCCGGACCGTGACGGAGACGGGAACGATCTCCTGGTCGAACTGCCCCGAGTCCCGGGCCCGGGCCGCCCTGCGGGGACACACGGGTCAGCACCGGCCCGCTCAAGACCAGACCTGGAGCGACTGGGAACACTGGGAGAACCACAGGAAAAACAAAATGCTCCAGAGCTAAAAAACGAAACAAACTTGATGTGCGAGTCGAGAGCGAAGGCGTCCTGCTGCTGCCGGGAGACGGCGAAGCGCTCAGCGACGTTCTCCGACGTCACACTGAGGAGACAGAAAACATGGAGGATCGATTCCGGAGCCAATCAGGCTGATTGGAAAATGTTGCAACATCAATCAATAAAGGAGGATATCAGTAAATATCCTGATCTTCAGTGATTTAGTGAAGGACGTTCATGCTGAGAGTTTTCTGCTGATGGATCAACTTCATGATTCTGAAGCCGTAATTCCTCCCGTTGGTCGTATTGATTATTGCTCGATCGATCGATCGGCTCTGCCTCGCCTCCTCTCACCCCATGGGGATCAGGCAGTCCTCGCCTTGGCGTTGGCCGACAGTCCGGAGCTCAGATCTCCTGGATCCCCCATGGATCGGAGCGACATGCTCTCCACTCTGAAACGCAGCAGACCAGAGGTCAGAGGTCGGGATGACGAAGTGAACGGGTCTCTGAACGTCTGGAGAACTTTGAACGGCTGACGGGAAGAGAAGGAAACTTCAGGAACTCACCCGCAGGCCAGGCCCAGCTGGATGGATCCGCTCCGGATGGACCCTGAGAAACAGAACAACCGGGTCAGACTGGGCCGGCGGCCCGGAGGAACCAGCTGGAAGCAGTCAGGCCGGGTGAGGGTTAGGGGTCAGGCCGGGTGAGGGTTAGGGGTCAGGCCGGGTGAGGGTTAGGGTTCAGGCTGGGTGAGGGTTAGGGTCAGGCCGGGTGAGGGTTAGGGGTCAGGCCGGGTGAGGGTTAGGGGTCAGGCCGGGTGAGGGTTAGGGGTCAGGCCGGGTGTGGGTTAGGGTTCAGGCTGGGTGAGGGTTAGGGTCAGGCGTTACCTGCGATGTTGAGCAGCGCCTGCAGGCCAGAGGAACATTGCCTGTTCACTGTGTAAACCGGAACCTTCTCTGGAAAACCGCTGCAAGCAGAACAGCTGTTAGAACCTCCAGGCCCCACCCCTTTAAAGGCCTCTACACCTGACCTCTGACCCTTGATCCTAACCTCAGGAAGTGAGCCACTCGGGCCATCAGTGCTCCGGCTCCAGGCTGCAGAACGTTTTCCTGCAGACAGATAGCCTCGTTAGCAGGACGATGTGCCCCTTCAGGCCAGGCTGGGTATTACACTCACCCACACAGACGTCCCCAGCTGCTCCGGGGACAGTCCCACGTCCTCCAGGACGGCCGTCATCACGGCGCTCAGCAGCTCGTCCGGCGTGGTGTCCTGCAGGAAGCCGGTTTGTTAGCATGTGGCCCCTCCGGGCCTCTGAACCAGTCCGGTTCAAACCAGTGAATGAATCTGTTTCAGATTTAAAACCGGAACATTCAATCCCAGTCTGCTTCCAAAGAAAATCAGGACCTGACTGGGATTAGTCCCAATTATCCCAGTGGATCAACTTTAACCTGCTAGTTAGCGATTAATCAGAAAACTTTCATCATAATGATAGATTTTATTTCCAATAGCCTTCAAATATTTATATCTCATCTTCAGTCTCTTTCTATAAAATCAGTTTGACTTTAATAAATCTACGCAACATCCCACTTCCACTCAGTGGGCGGAGTCTACCGGCAGGGGGCGGGGCTTGCGGCGACAGGTTGGAACATCGGCTTAACTCGGTCAAGTCCGGTATTGTTCGGGTTCTGCTGTTTTCTCGGACCGTACGAACCTTAAAACTTCCTTTTTTGGCCTTTCCGATCGCGGTCCTCCGGCCGTGGACCACCACCACCTCGTCCCCGGGGCTGGGCGCCGCGCAGCCGCAGTCGGAGCTCCGGAGGCCGGGACTCAGGTGTCCGGAGATGAGCTTCAGCCGGTTCATGGCGCTGCTTCGGTCCAACAGGACTCTCACAAAGTTCCGAATCCAACAGGCGGATCAGACTTTGGACTGACTGTCTTCTTCTGAGATGAGCCGTTTCACTGCAGCGCGCCGCCTTGTGGCCCGGAAGGAGAATCTGCAGCTTGAGAAATAATCTAAGTTACTTTGAAAAACAAAATACTTAAAAACTCGTAATGTTACCAGTGCAAAATGTAATTCAAATAAAAACTTACCTTGTTAAACTTTTACTGTGTTTTAGTTTATGAGCAGAAAGTTGTTTTAACAAAACATATTAATTTCAAACCGTTTTTAGTTTAGTAGCATTTTTGTGTAATTTAAAGGTCTCCAGGGTTTCCTGCAGTTTTCATCCCATCAAATGTAACAAAATGATTCACTCAGATTTTTCCCTGTAAATACAGGTAACATGTATCTCATTACACCTGAACTAAGTACCTAGTTACTTTCCTCCACAGTTCCAGGTAAGTGAAGCAGATGTTGGTCCACAGAAACCGGTTCTGTACGGTCAGAACATCTGGCAGAACTTTGGCGTCTCCTCTGATCCGACTGGCTTCAGTTTCCTGCAACAGCTTGTCAGATCCGCAGGAATCTCCTGGTTCCCTCCAGATCCAGATCCAGAACAAGCTTTCTGGATCCTCCAGAACCTTCACAGACCCAACTGCTGGACCCGTTCACCGCAGGACCAGAACTAGAACCAGAACGTTTGCTGAATTCTTCATGTCTCCAGTTTATTTCTGCAACATTTTCTTCAGGTAAAACGCAGCAAAGATAAACTTTTTAAACTTTTTATTTCATCACTACATGAGTTAGATAAGGCCACCGAGTTTCATCCAGGATGGAGGCAGAAAACAGGAAACAGGAAACACAAAACAGGAAAACAGACAAAACTAAAGGAACGTGTGAACCGGGTTCAACCCGTTTCTAGGTGATTAAATGAAAAAAGCAATGAGCTTCAGGTCCAAACGATGGCAGAACCTCATCCAGAACCTCAGAAAGGGGAAGCTCCAGCTCCAGGTAACAGCAAACACTGCCACCTTCAGGCTGCAGCAGGAACTGCGCCACTCAGCAGCTTCACTAAGGCAACAAACTGAGGAGCAGCAGCACCATCAGAACCACGACCCGGTCCCAGTGGTCTGGTCGATCTAGCTGAGGTTCTGACCCGATCCCAACAGGAACTGCTCCTCTGAGAGCAGGAAGTGGACCAGTTCTGGTTCTGGAGGTGAACCAGAACCCAGCAGATCAGAACCATTTTCTTCTACACGACGGGTCGAAACCGACTGAAACGACCCGCGGATCAACACAGATCTGAACCTGAAAACGGTTCTGACCCGGCTCAGCAGACCCGGATCTACACGTCATTAAGGCACTGGGAGGTCCGACGCAGAGATCCGGTCGGGTTCTGCTTCATTTCCCGACCTTACTTCAGACCGGAACCGCCTTCAGAGATTAATAATCAATAATCTATAAATGAACTGGTGTCAGCAAAACTTTATCTGTGCTGCCATTAGAAGATAATCAAGAGTCCAGAGGTCAGAGGTCAACGACGTCTCAAAGCACCCAGAAGAGGGTCTGCTTGACCTTTCATGACCTCTGGAAACTTTCATAACGTTTAAAATAATTGCGGCACAAACAAATGAAAATATGGAGCAAAAGTTTGGCTCCGTTTTGTCACTCAGACCGTTAGTGTATTCATCCGCCGCTGGAAGTAGTCCCCCGGCTTCCCGCGGCGACCCGGCTCAGGCGTAGAAGATGAGTTCTGGGATCTGGCCGCCCTGGACCCCGGTCCCGTTGGTGCTGTCGGAGGAGCACTGGAACTGGAAGGTGACCTTGCCGCTCTGGACCTCCGTCATGCCCTCCTGGCCAAAGTAGCTGAGCTCGTTGCCGTCCAGAACCACGCTGGCCGTGTAGAAGGTGTCGGGCTCGATCTGGACCGGGTAGTCGAACCAGACCGGGAAGGTGCTGCTGGAGCCGTCGGAGAAGAACTTGATGACGCGCTGCGCCATGGGCACTCCCTGCCGCTTCAGCTCCATCTTGGCGCTGTACTCGGCCGAGCCGCAGCTGGAGCCGTACAGGCCGAAGCCGGCGATGAAGACGCGGCGGTCCACGGCGAACTGGATGCTGTCGCAGCGGCCGCGGTAGCGCCACTGGTTGCTGCGGTAAGCGCAGGACTGGAAGCGGTGGCAGCGCTGCGGCGCCAGCCCCTTCCGCGGCTTGGTGCAGAACAGCAGCTCCGGCTTGCGGGACGCCGTGAACCACAGGAAGATGTCGTTGGTCTCGTTGAGCGTCAGCACGCCGGACTGCGCCGCGCCGTTGGCGAAGTCCTCCAGCGCCATGGCGGGGATGCGGATCAGGTAGATGGCCTTGCCCAGCACCAGCCGCTTGTTGTCGATGGAGGGTGGCAAGTCGCGGCGCTGGCACTCGGCCTCCGCCCAGCTCAGCGCCGCCTCGAACACGACCATCTCCTTGGCGTTGAGCGTCTCCCGTCGCAGGATGCTCTCCAGCGTCTGCACGTCGATGTCGCAGAAGCCCTCGGAGCGCAGCGCCAGCTCGGCCTGCGCGTCGATGACCTCCCAGCAGCGCTGCGTCAGGTCCGGCTCCTCGAACAGGCAGCTCTGCGACAGAAGCACGCAGGCGTTCTTGGCGCTCAGGCTCGTTTCCAGGAAGTTGACGCAGGCCCGCGCCAGGTGAGGCACGATGTACTTTTTGGCGGCGTAGAGGGTGGCGAGCACCGTGTCGGCGCACAGGTCGATCTCGTCACAGTAGATGTACCTGTGGAGGAGAGGCCGGGTTAGCAGACCGGTTCTGGTTCTGAGGTCCGAACGGATAGTCCGACCCACTTCAGCATGGCCAGGAAGGACGGCGGCTCCACGTCCGGGATCCGGATCTCCTCCGTGTCCTCGGCCAGCTCGCCGTAAAACATGGCATGGAACACGGAGCTGCCCACGGCCAGAACGTACTGCCGAGAGGAACAGCAGAACCGGAACCGGGTCAGAAGCCAACAGAACCTGGTTTCTAAAAGACTTTAGACGCAACGAGTCGCCCCCTGCAGGAAACGGCTGTAATAGAATAATAATAATAATAATAATAATAATAATAATAATTCTGGTTTAAAGTCACGAAGGCAGTGAAGAAGCTTTAATACCCTAAACATTAAATATGAGCAGCTCTGCAGCAGATCTGTTTCTATACATCTATCTCTAGAGATCTCGCCCTAGAAGCTGTCGGGACTCGACCTTGTGTCCAGGAACCCTCTGAGTGGCGCCCGGCGGTCCGACCACGAAGTGAACGTCCGCCATCATCTCGTTGTTGAACATGACTGAATTCCTACAGACAGAAATATGAACCAAAACTTCACAGAAATGACAGAAACACAGTTTCTCGATAATCATTTCTACTTTTTAACTGCACTTAGTTTAAGGTTTTTATTTTACTTGAATTACACCTAAATTCAGTTAAAGTTCATAAAGCTGCAGCTCCAGACGCCTTTACCCCGGCTGGTCGGCTGGTTCGGAAGAAACATCCCTGTGTTTATTATTTTTGATCAGGATAAAATAAAAATCTAAAATTTAAAGAAAATGTTAATTTCAGGTGAAAACAAGCAGCAGATTCCAGACCTGAGATTAATGAAGTCAAAATGTCGCCTCACATTTCTGCACATTTTACGGTAAAAATCTGCTTGTGTAAATAATGGAGTGTCATTCATATTTATTTATGTTAATTACTAAACAAGTCTGAAATTTCAACTCCAGCTTAACTTTTTTTGATTTTCAAATGATAAAATGTGAATTTCCAGCTGAGAGGAAACTCTTCATATGAGTCATAACCATTCATCACAGATTTCCACAAATATTCTTATTTCATCTTCCGGTAGAGAAATTCGTCCGTAGCTACAGCAGCAATCACTGGGATAAACTGAAACAAACTGAATAGTTTCTACCAGCAGGATTTATTATTTTTCCTTTTCTGGCAAAAACTGGATGATAAATGTTTTGTTGTGATTTGGTTTCAGTTTTGTTTACAGAGACTTTATAATTCTTTTTATTTAATTCTTTTGGATATTCAAAAAGTCTTCTGGTTCCAGAATTAAATGTTTATTAGAGTTCAAAGTTCATTGTGTTCTTGGATTATGGAAAATGGTCTCAAAACAACATTATTATTATTATTGCAATAACTTCAATTAGTCTGGACGGAACCAGCAATGAAAAACATTTCATAACAATGAATAAAACTTTCTCTGCATTCAGTTATTATACCATTTATTTGTTTTCTGACTTTTAATTTATTAAATTTGAAAGTTTCATAAAAACTAGACTAAATTTTGATGACTTTCTGACCGGGGAGCGCCGGTACCCCGGGGAGCGCCGGTACCCCGGGGAGCGCCGGTACCCCGGGGAGCGCCGGTACCCCGGGGAGCGCCGGTACCCCGGGGAGCGCCGGTACCCCGGGGAGCGCCGGTACCCCGGGGAGCGCCGGTACCCCGGGGAGCGCCGGTACCCCGGGAGCGCCGGTACCCCGGTACCCACTCACCTCTCCCGGATGGTGGGGAACAGGCCCTGCCAGCTGCAGCCCGGCGCCGGGTTGTTGTTGCTCAGGTTCTGCTGCTGGAGCGAAGCGGCGGAGCTGCTGCTGCTTGAGGCCGGAGACACCAGCTTCTTGGCGGGGAACAGCTCTGCTGCCATCCTCCCCCTTCAGTCACACCGGGGAACGGCTCATGGCGGCTCCAGGGGCCGAACTCAACCGCTCTTTAGACTTGGGTCAGTTCCCGAACCGAACCGAACTTCATTTAAAAGCTACCGGACTTTAGCTCTGAGCTAGCTTTAGCCACATTAGCCTCCCAGCAACGGAGCCTAAAACATGACGTGAACTGCGGAAACCGGAGCTAAAGCAGCGAGGCAGAGGTTCCCCGAAGGAGCAATATTCCGTAACCTTTAACCTTTGACCCCTAAAACCTCCATAAGCAGCCAAGTGTACTTGAGCAGTTTGGGCTCAGCTTTTGTTTATACCGTATCAACTCTAACCAATCACAGACCAGCTCTTCTTTACTGGCGCTATGGGCGCTTTACTGCCCCCTACTGGAAAACGGCGCACTGCAGGCTCCAGTTGTGCCGCTTAAAACATAAATCCAAACTCAAGGTTCTGATTCAAACATACTTTATTGAACCCAAAGGGAAATTAAATGTTGTTGTATCTCATTAATTCAGATTCTTCAAAAAGTTACTGTCGATGCTGATGGCTGTTGGCAGGAAAGGTCTTCTGCATCAGTCTGTATCACAGTGAATCTGAAGAAGCCTCTGGTCTCATTAGTCAACGTTTAAAGAATCCCCCTTTGTGTCGTCCCCAAACAGAACCAGAACCAGAACAGAATCAGAACCAGAACCACAACAGAACCAGAACAGAATCAGAACCAGAACAGAACCAGAACCAGAACAGAACCAGCGTTCTTTAAATCCCTGGTTCTGATGCTGCTGCCCCAACAGATGACAGTAGAGATGATGCTGTCAACCACAGAATAACACAAATAAAAGCCATAATTATAAGATAATTATGGGAAACAATTAAATCCACAGAACCAAATATATTCACTACAAAACTGTAAGACTATCTCAAAGACATTTTTCTAAATATGTTTCGGTTGCATTTCAGAGACTGTGCAGCAAATGCTGCATGTTTTACATTTCTTTGTCCCGTTGCTATGGCAGCACATTCTGGTTTGTTTCAACAGTTAAACTTTTATATTTTCTTCTGCTGGGAGAAGCGGATCAGTGAGCCACAATGGTGAGAAAATGTTCACACTTTACTGGAAACTACATGTTCAGCAATATGAGATCAATTTATTAACTGTTAGATTCTGAATTATGTCTCGTTAGCATGTTAGCTTAGCATCAGCAGCTCAAATTGTGTTTTCCTTCTTCAGCCTCCAAAGAAAGGCAAAAAGGGCAAAAAAGGGAAAGGCGGGAAGGTGAACCCCTTCATGCTGCTGGACTCTGCGCCCATACAGGACATGTCCAAGGATCAGGTAGCACTTCCTGCTGATGCTAACAAGGCTAGCTGGTGTTCAGAGTTTGGACCTGATGGAACCGGTGCAAACCGGCAGAACAAACATGCGACTGTTAGATGGTGGAGGACCTGCAGGAGCTAACATTTTAAAGCTTAATTTGGTAGAACTCCAGAACAGGCTGAATCTTCCTGTGGGGAATTTGAAGCGTAGTTTTGTTAAATGAATGAGCGCCAGGGATGCAGCGCTCATCTTTATCCTCTACAGCAGCAGTCTCATTATTCAAAGTACATTTCTACACGTTTTCCTGAATTCAGACACGTTTGAAATGAGTTTCCACTGAAGTCAGATAATAGTTGAGCTTTTGGACTCTGGCTGGTTCATGGTTCGTCTGCAGGCGCCACTCCAGACGATTTGATGAAAATCTGATCGTTTTCTGGTTCAAACCCTGATGACATCTGACACGCTATTGGCTGGGATTTGCAAAGCAGCCAATCCATGAACGCCATTCGCTGTCCTTAGTGCTGATTGGCTGAAGGCCCAAACCTAAAGTAACTTTCTTAATTTTCCATTTATATCCGGGTCGATTTGAATGAACTGGGTCAGTTTGACTGGTTTTAATCCGGGGTCATTCAACACCAGATTAAAACCAGATTAATTCCTTTGCAGTTTCCTGGTTAATCCCGCCCTGATTGTCTGCAATGTGTTGCAGTTGTGGGATTTCGCCCTCCGGATCCAGGAGGAGCTGGACACGGTGCGGAAGGAAAAGAGCCTCTTCCAGCTGGGAGCGGGACAAGACCAAGATCGTTTGGGAGACGATCAAGAAGAACCTGGAGGAGTCCGAGATCCAGCTGAGGAATACCACTGCAGAGAGTCAGAGGTCGACGAGCAACACAGAGAGGAGATGACTGTCCTCCACTGACCCTGCGAGGTGGTCCTGCGGTTCTTCCGGTCCTGCGGTTCTCCCGGTCCGATCCTGACTCTGTCGGGTTTTCAGGTCTACAAGCAGAAGATGAAGCACGTCCTGTCCGAGCAGCACAACGCCGTCTCTGAGGTGAAGACGGACGCCGTGACGTGCCGCTCACTGCAGCAGAAGCAGAGCACGGACGTGGAGCTGGATCTGCGCCGGCAGCTCCGGGATCTGCAAATGGACAACAGAGAGAAGAGGCTCCAGGAGCACGCCTCCATCAAGATGCTGAAGCTGGTGAGAAGACGATCCTCTGCTCCGGCTTCAAGCTTTGGCTTCCGTCTCATGCCTGCTCTTCCTCCCCAGAACCACCAGAGGGAGCTGATGAGGCTCGGCGGAGAGTTTGAGCGCCGGATGCAAGGTGAGTGCAGCTCGGTGCTTCCTCCCGGGTTTCCTTCCTGGTCTTCCTCATCGTTCCTGTTCAGTGCTGGAGGTGCAGAAGCTGGTCACCATACGGTCCCTGGCAGAGATGTTCCAGAGGAAGCTGATGAACGCTCTGACGGAGATCGACACCTTCAAGAAATGTCACCTGGTGTCCCTGAACAAGGAACACGACAACAGGAGAGAACGGACAGAAGGGACGTTTGAGGAATTCCTGGACACAAAGCACTACGAGCAGCACACCTGGAAGGTAGATGAACCATCGTAGTGCTGCCTCTGGTGTCTTTAGTTGGTCCCTCTGGGATCTACCCAAAGTAGATCCCACTGGGTCCACTGGAGTAGATCCCTCTGGATCCTCTGGAGTAGATCCCACTGGATTGTCTGGAGTAGATCCCACTGGATCCTCTGGAGTAGATCCCTCTGGAGTAAATCCCACTGGATCCTCTGGAGTAGATCCCACTGGATCCTCTGGAGTAGATCCCACTGGATTGTCTGGAGTAGATCCCACTGGATCCTCTGGAGTAGATCCCTCTGGAGTAATCCCACTGGATCCTCTGGAGTAGATCCCACTGGATCCTCTGGAGTAGATCCCTCTGGATCCTCTGGAGTAGATCCCACTGGATTGTCTGGAGTAGATCCCACTGGATCCTCTGGAGTAGATCCCACTGGATCCTCTGGAGTAGATCCCACTGGATCCTCTGGAGTAGATCCCACTGGATTGTCTGGAGTAGATCCCTCTGGATCCTCTGGAGTAGATCCCACTGGATTGTCTGGAGTAGATCCCTCTGGATCCTCTGGAGTAGATCCCACTGGATTGTCTGGAGTAGATCCCACTGGATCCTCTGGAGTAGATCCCACTGGATCCTCTGGAGTAGATTCCACTGGATCCTCTGGAGTAGATCCCACTGGATTGTCTGGAGTAGATCCCACTGGATCCTCTGGAGTAGATCCCACTGGATTGTCTGGAGTAGATCCCACTGGATCCTCTGGAGTAGATCCCTCTGGAGTAGATTCCCACTGGATCCTCTGGAGTAATCCCACTGATCCTCTGGAGTAGATCCCACTGGATCCTCTGGAGTAGATCCCACTGGATCCTCTGGAGTTTATCCCACTGGGTCCCTGAGCCCTCCCTCTCTGCTCCAGGGCGAGCTGAAGAAGCTGCAGAACCAGAAGCTGCGGTGGGAGAAGAAGATCTCAGCAGCTGAGCAGGAGAACCAGCATCTGAAGACGACGCTGCAGGAGAGTCCAGCAGAAGCTGCCGGAGCTGCACAGACGGCTACAGGAGCACCAGCACTCCAAGCAGAGGATGGAGGTAAGGGGGCGGAGCCAACACCTGGAAGCTGCTCAGCGCCGATGGTGACGATGATGGTGTGTGAGCAGGAGTACCGAGCTCAGCAGAAGCTGGTTGATCAGAGCTCAGAGACCTGACGGTGGAACACGAGCTGCTGCTGCAGGCCTTCCAGAAGGTAAACCTCTCCCTCCCTCCTCACACTCCTCGCTCCTGCTCCTCCCTGCCGACCCCTCCCCCCCGCAGGTGCAGCAGGAGCGTGACGAGCTGCTGAGGAGGCAGACGCAGAGCATCCTGGACGTCCAGCAGAGAGCGGCCTTAAGAAGATCCTGCTGCAGAGGAAGCTGGAGGCGCTGAGCCAGACTCTGGAGAAGAAGGAGGCGCAGCTGAGCGCCGCGCTGTCCGTCTGCAGCGTGGAGCCCACGGCGCGCAGCAGCGCCTACAAGCTGCAGGTAGAGGCCGGAGGGCCGCTCCGCTGGGCAGCACCAGAACTTCTACCGGCAGTTAAACACCAGGAGGAGTTTAACTCAGGAGCAGCTGATTCATCCTGAAGGAAACCAGACGGTTGTTCAGTCAGCTGTATGAGATTTGACTTTCACTGGAGCAAAACCATGTTGAAGTATTTCTCTCTCAGTACTTCCTGTCTGCAGCAGCTTCTTCAGCTTCCTGTGAACTCAAAGTTAGAATCCGCCCTGCAGGAGAGGAGAAGGTCTGGCAGAAGAGAAATCTTCATCCTCCTCACTGAACTCATCATTCTGGTTTCTCTGGAATGTTGGAGGCACAGCAGCAAGGAGTTTCGTTAGCTTAGCAACAACTGAGCCGATGACATCACAGAGTGTTTTGTTAGCTTAGCAACAACTGAGCCGATGACATCACAGTGTTTGTTAGCTTAGCAACAACTCAGCCGATGACATCACAGAGTGTTTGTTAGCTTAGCAACTCAGCCGATGACATCACAGAGTGTTTGTTAGCTTAGCAACTGAACTAATGACATCATCAGAGTGTTTGTTAGCTTAGCAACTGACTGATGACATCACAGAGTGTTTGTTAGCTTAGCACAACTGAACTGATGACATCACAGAGTGTTTGTTAGCTTAGCAACAACTCAGCCGCTGACATCACAGAGTGTTTGTTAGCTTAGCAACTGAGCCGATGACATCACAGTGTTTGGTAGCTTAGCAACCGAACTGATGGCATTGCAGAGTGTTTGTTAGCTTAGCAACTGAGCTGATGACATCATGTTTGTTTAGCTTAGCAACTGAGCTGATGACATCACAGTGTTTGTTAGCTTAGCAACTGAGCCAATGACATCACAGAGTGTTTGTTAGCTTAGCAAACTGAGCCGATGACATCACAGAGTGTTTGTTAGCTTAGCAACTGAGCTGATGACACATCACAGAGTGTTTGTTACTTACAACTGAA